TCTCAATAAATAAAATAAATAAATAAATAAATAAAGTCACTGCTCTAAATAAGGTAATTTTAGATTAAAAATGCTATGAAAATAAATGAAGGTAGTGTGACAGAACATGACTGGGGAAGGGCATCTTTAGAGTGGACAGCCAGAGTGGTCACCTTGGGTCCTGCCCAAAGTGTGGAAGAATGCTACTCTGCTGGTCCTGGAGCCCCTCTGCTCCAGGTGGAGGAAATGCTGAGAGGAAGGAAGGCACCAGCAGACGGGTCAAAACGGTGGTGGGGTTGGTTTCCAGGGAGACAAGAATAAATGGCTCCTCCTACCATTCAGAGAGAGGGGAGGTGCCCACAGCCCCCTAGACCTCCTCGCCCCAGCAAGAGGCAGATTTATGAAAGGAGAGGGAAAGGGGAGGTCGAGAACAGGGAGAGGTAAGGATTTGTGACCAGGACAGCAAAGCCTTCATAGAAACACTAACAACCTTCTTTTATTCACTCATTCAAAAAATACATACTAAGTATCTCTTATGTGAGACCCTAAGGACACCAGGAAATCAACTATAGGCAACAGACTTCATCCTTGCCCTCAAAGGAAACATGTTGCTAGCAAAGGGTAGCTCATAAGTCCTGCAATACTGACAAGAAGAAAGGAGGAGACAAAGGGGACTGAAAAGGGAGAAGAATTAGGACAAGCAAGCTTGAGGCACTGGCCTGAACCTCCCTGTCTACAGGACTACTGTCAACTCCCTAGAGACAGGCTGAGAATGTAATATGGTTCATCCGGTTTCTCTCTTTGCATTGGCTACCAGGGAGCTCAGTGTGCAGTTTAGCACACAGCGGCAGCAGTCTTCCCTAGGTTTCCTCTCCTCTACTCCATACCTTCTAGTTTGTCACAATCCTTGACTTGTTCTTATATATAACAAAAAATGCTTTTGAAAGCCTGCAGAGTTCAAATAATAAATCACAGTTTGTGACCTTTCTCCCATGAGAAGGCTTAAGGGCCAAAGTTAAACTCCCACCTGGAAAAAGCTAAAATGTGGCAGGGCATGGTGGCTTACACCTGTAATTCCAGCACTTTGGGAGGCCAAGGCAGGTGGATCACCTGAGGTCAGGAATTTGAGACCGGCCTAGCCAAATTGGTGAAACCCCGTCTCAACTAAAAATACAAAAAAATTAGCCAGGCGTGGTGGTGGGCGCCTGTAAGTCCGATTACTTGGGAGGCTGACACAGGAGAATTGCTTGAACCTGAGAGGCTGAGGTTGCAGTGAACCAAGATCGCACCATTGCACTCCAGCCTAGGCAACAGAGCGAGACTCTGTCTCAAAAAAACAAAAACCAAAAAAGCTCAAACATCCTGCTCCCCCCAGCATATCAGCAAGATGGCATCCAGTTATAATTAAGCCAATCATTTTTGCCACAAGCACCTCATAAGACCCTAAAGCGCTGTTGACTGACTCCAAAACTCGAATAAAGACACATCTCACTGATTTTCCCCAGTGGATTTCCTGGGAGGGAGCCACTCTCCCAGATTTGCTCTCCCAGCACCCTCTCTGGCCCACTTACAAAGAAATCCACAAAATTGAGACCCAGTTGGGGACAGTTAATGATGATGATGATGATGCTAACTGTTGACTTTTGGTGGCCCCTGCCCAGCTGTCTTGCCTCACTTCCAGCCTTCTTTTCATTGCTCAACCATGTGCCAAGCTCAGTCCCATCTTGGGGCTTTTGCCCTGATCCTTCTCATCATGTCAGCCTCAGGCCAAAGGCGACCACTCTGACTGTCCACGCTGAAGTTGCCCTTCCCTAGTCACTTTCTGTCACACTATCTTCATTTATTTTCATAATATTTTTAATCTAAAATTATCTTATTTAGAGCAGTGATTTTCTTTCTTTCTTTCTTTCTTTCTTTCTTTCTTTCTTTCTTTCTTTCTTTCTTTC